GTACGCTATTCAGAGCGCTGTGGGTGAGTCGGGACAACTGAGATATCTCTGCTGAGTTTAAGTAGGTCACAGGAGCTCTGTGCTGTTATTAGAGAAGTCACAAATCTGGTATTTATGGTAACTGTTATATTTAAAAAATGAAAACATATTTTGTTTGTAATACTTATGACAATATCATAAATATTAAGTCATGTAAATGATGAAGTAAATAAATGCTTGTGCCTTAAATAGTTACAAACTCTCTTTGCACCTCCCTACATATCGTATAAATGACTTGTTCTTTATATATATCTTTCTAAAGATATTGCAATTATTTATAAGATAAGAGAAGATAAGATAAGATAAAATAGACCTTCATTCATCCCCGTAGGGAAAAAACGTTTGCATAGCAGCAACATAATAAGAGTTCACATAAGGATTATAAGAATAAAGTAAAAAGGAAAGTAACCTATGAATAAAAAAACTAAAAAATAATAACATAAGGTAGCTGAATTTACATAAAGACAGTAGTGCGTATATGTCGTATGTTAAAGCTTTGATTGTGGAGCCTGATTGTTGTCATAAAAATCTAGTGACAGTCTGATATTGTGTCACCCCTCGTTGTAATACACTTGAACCTCATTTCATGCTGGGATGCAGTAGATAAGGGCATGTGTGCATATAACTGGCTGAAGGCTGTGAATCCCTCCCATGTAGGTGCACCGCAGAGGGAGGTGTATTTCATGGGCCTGATTGACATGCTGACACAGTACGACACCAAGAAGAAGGCTGCCCACGCTGCCAAGGCTGTCAAACACGGGGTGAGAGGTTTAAACGGATTGGTTGGCATATTCTGTCTTTACATGTCTATGCTGTGAAGTGTTAAGGTTTGCTTTCATGTTTATTCAGTTATCTTTAATAGACTGTGTCTGTGTGTGTTTTTATTTATGCAGGCAGGAGCAGAAATCTCCACAGTTCATCCAGAGCAGTACGCTAAACGTTTCCGGGAGTTTATCACTAAGATCTTTGCTTAGTTCAATGATTCAGTAGACTCCCGTCCTCATGTTATACAACAGGAGTCTCATTATGCAATACTTATGCAATCTAGAATCAAATGAAGACACACTGAACTTGTATTGTTAATTTTTAAATTATCTACATATCTTTTACCCTTAATATCACCCTGAACTGAAATATGGACTGTGCATTTATGTTTGAATGAAGATCAGGCTTTGCATTCAGGAGTAAAAGTCTTCTTGGCATCTGGTCTTTTTTAATGGGTTTTCTTTTGTTTTCATTTTTTGGCAATACTCCAGCCCCCATCACAGAAGAAAAGCTGAGATGATGATAAAACATATTTTCTCAACACAATAATTGTGGCAATTCTCTTTTGCTGCTGCTCGGGAAAAGTATGTACATTTTGTTCTTGATTATTAATTTATGTCTGCCTATTTCTTCTACTAGTGACAACACATTGCAACACAAGAATAATTTGGGCAAATATACATAGTCTGAATTGGGAACAATGCATTATTCATCTCATTGTCAGCACCAATGTGTGATTGAAGCTTGTAATAAACAATGTTATCTTACTAAAATGTTGCCATATGCAAAAATTCAAATGAATAGCACTAAAACAATGATTTAAATAACTGCCAGCTGTTGAACATTTCCTAATACTGACAGCTTTTTTAAAGGGCCCATGTCATGCTTTTCTGGTTATTACCCGTCCCCTTGTGTGTTATGAAGGTTTTTATGCATGTAAACGGTCTGCAGAGTCAAAAACCCTCAAAGTACACGCTGTAGCGAGTAAAACTCTAACACAGAAAAGACCTGTCTATGCTGCCCCAAAACGCCTCGTTGGAGATTTCTCCTTTTCCATTGTTTTCTTCCTGGGTTCTGTGACGTGTGAACACCCAAATCAACAACAAATGACCGGATTGGCCCAAATGGACCAATCCGCGGAGCACCTCACACACCAGGATCCCTTGGCTAACTAACAGGGAGTCCCCATTGACTTGCATAGAGCTCCCTGAACGCTGGTAATAGACGAGTTGGGATCGCGGAGAAATGCTCTCCGTAGACCCATTCTCACAGCGTTATAAACCTTTTTCTTAAGGCCGCTACACACCCACCTGAGACCAAAGAACGCGTACCGAAGGCGTCCCGACTTTTACGTCAGCTACGTCGCCTGCGTCGGCTACGTCGCCCGCTACGCCGCCCGCCTACGAACACACCGCAAATACTACAGTCGACGAGTGGCAATAACTGTCCTTACCAGCAGGCAGCGGTAGTGTGAACAGCCAATCAGAGTGATTGCTTGGGCCGACTTTCTCTGACCTCCCGCGCCCAATTCAACATGTTGAATCGGCCGCGGGAGGTGTGAAAAGGTGCCGTAAAGAGACGACGGTGCGGGACACACCAACCTGAGTAGGGCGCCGCGAATGCCCGACTGCCTCTGACGGCCTCTGACTCCCAAAATCGGGTTGGTGTGTAGCCAGCTTTACTCAATATCAAGCCACACTTATTGTTTTTACTTCGGCTGTGAGTGTTTGTGTGTGCTCAGGATGAGTTTCGCTTGTTCTCGCTGTATCGCCGACCCGGAAACCTGTCCACTCCTCGCAGCAGCTCGCAGAAACGAGCCTCGCAACGTCCTGACCAATCAGAGCACACTGGGCTCACAGGGAGGGGGGGGCAGGAGCTCCAACAAGCCGTTTAGGACAGAGAGTGAATACCTGGTGAATACACATACTATACAGAGATGCTGTATGAGAAACCAATGTGATTTTGGAAAATTGCACAATTTAAATCTATTCTAGTAGACCTCAACAATGGAAATATGATCAGTAGAAATGGCCATGACATGAGACCTTTACCATTTACCAAAGAATTACCATTGTATGATATTTAGCAGTCTCGCAAAGCCAATCCATTGGAAATGTTGTTTATCATTGATGTATTCTAAATTATGATTTGATGAATATGTGCTATGTTCACAAAAAGTAAACAAACATGTCATATGGCAAGTTCATAAGGGTTTTATCATCTATTTATCACATCAGTAAAAAAAAATGCACCACTGCCATTTTTGGTGAATAAATTGGTTAAAATAATCTGCTGAAGATTTAAATAAAAGAGGTTGAATGCCTATGTTTTGAAAGCCTGAAACTGAAAATAGTTACTTGCACAGCTCCAGTAGTGCTGAGGGCAACGCTCCTCTCCTCTCTGTGTTAAGTATTTATTGTGTGACATAGCAGTGCAATGCTTCAGTGGAAGATACACACAGCCTTGCATCATCTGAAAGGCACTGTAGCACACAAATTATTAAGCTGTAAATTGATCAAAGGGCTTATGCCAAATCGTGTTGCTTAGATCCAGCCTTACGCTGTATTTCTTATTTGCCTTTGAATGCAATGAACAATTTAACAAGAAAATGTACCCACATGAGTAAAGGATAAAAGGAATCACAAACTTCGTATTTGTAAAAGAGAAGGCAAGTTAAAGCTCATTGTGAATCATGGCAGTACATGTATTCCTCTGAAATGTATTCTCGGAGGCAAAGCATTCATTTTTGTCCTTATTTAGTCCCTCTGCCCTGTCCCAGTCCTCCTGGCACACATTCTCTCACACAGTCTCCTTCTGAGATTATCTGAAGGTTTTCACTTTTAATAAGTGAGTGGACAAACATGGCACCAAAAGGCTCAAGTCTTAAGCAGTGATAATAAACTAAGTTCTAGATTAATATTTGACTGTAGTCAAACTCACCCTAAACCAGCAAACAGTCAGCAGTTTTGCCCTTTATGGCTCATGACGTCTTAGTTTTATTTTACAGAAACCTTGTCTCCAACTATGTCTGTAATATATGCAGTACAATATTCACACGTTAAGTCCAAGTAACTTTCTGTCCGAACACATTTGACACTTTGAATTATTGTCTAAGCTGAAGTCAGCTTCTACTCGAGAGAACATTGTCTCAGCAATTTACAGCCCATATATTGTGTAATACATTTATATTTTCAGTGCTTTTAGATCCTGTCCCTCCTCCGAAACTGCTTAGTATGGATTCACATTTCACACGGGTGCTGCTATTACTGGATTTTCACTGCATTTGTCCACACTATTCATTCATTGATCATACTCCTTGACCAATTCAATAACACATTTATCATCTCGGTCCTCTCACATGGTGAAAATCTTTCCTATCTGAATCCTTTAACACTGCATTAATATTTTCTGATGTGAATTCTGGAGGACCTCAGGGCTCTGTTCTTGGCCCCTTTGCCTTTCTCTCGTTATAATCTGCCTCTTGGCACAATAATACACAGCCATCGAATCACATGTTGCTGTGTGTGTCAGTAAAAGGCGGTTAAGTTCTCAGATTTTTGCGTTTCCTTTCTTTCCGTTTGGTACTTTCAGTTCAATAAACCATAAGCAACTGACATTGTATTTTTGGGATTCTTCATGATGTATCCCAACCAAATACTTTTTGGATATTTTAATATAGTTCCTGACAATCAACATATACTATTATATGTATTTCATCATTCTACAGTGTAAGCATTCCCATGTTATGTCACCTTAGTTTTTTTATGTGTTTTTACCTGTGAATCCACAAAACTGAAACTATCCATCATGGTCTAAAATGAGTTCATCGCAATGACCTAGAAAGAAGTAGGTCAAAGCCTGCAGAGGCCTTTATCATGAACTGGTTTGACCCAGAATATCTCACCATCAAATGCTTGTCGACTTTTAAGAGTTGGCCGCTCGCTGCTTGCTGCACCTGTCAAGAAATCAGCTCTCAACAGGAGCTGTTTGAAACACAAACCGTCTGCGCAGCAGCATGTGTGATGCAACTATACTGCATGATGTTCCTGCTTGCTCAAGTCTCTCTCACCCCTGTAAACGGCTGTTGTTCATTTGGACACAGCTAGAAACTGAGAAAATCCTAAAAAAATAAATTCAGCTAGCCTTTTGAAGCCCAGACACAGAGAAAACACACAACTCTGTACCAAACACCACAGCTTGGGCAGAAGCCTTAGTGTATTGATAATGAATGCTCTATGAATAATTGCATGAGTAAAAAAATACAAATGGAGAGATGCTTACATCACAGACATGTACACTCTGCTGAGTCTTTAGATCAACACAAAATTACATACAGTACTGCAGGAGGGTTGTTTTTTTAAACATTTTTTTTTTAAAACTGGGCAACATTCCTCTATTTCATGTGGATTTTTATCCACTTACAAATATATTCATAAACATCCAAAGTCCCAGTTTTATAGATCAGAACCTTTGCAGAGCTTGAATCTATTAAAACATACTTTCTATTAGTCACAGCTGGAATAATATTAGTTAATAAAAAAATGAAACACCCCAACAGTCCACCAATACTGCATCATCACTGTTTGAGATAATGAACTCATACCATCTGTTTTGTATACATTCAATCAAAATCAAGGCATTTACACATCTAGTATTACACTGGCCTTGATGATGACCTGCTGCTGGATTCATAATGCACACATCATGTACAGTGCTCATGTCACACACAGTGATACAAACATAACATAGAAATCTCAGTCTTGGATGTCGAAGAGTTAATCAGGTGGTTGTTAAAGAAAAACCAAACCAAGACGCTGTACAGGATTTTTCTGAACAGCTATAAGTAATTCCTTTGAGTTTTTTACATTTGACACATAACCAACTGTACAAATCATACAATAACAATCTTGAAAATTAAGCACTTTTAAATGTTTAGAATTCTATTTTTATCAATGCATTTCTATACAGATATTTTAATTATCTATAAAGTGACCTCTCAGCCACAGTCAAGTTTGTATTTTTTTTACTTAGACAACATTTTAATTTTTTATTTAATGACTGGCTGTGTTTAGCATAACACAGTATATGCACTCTGAATTTAAAAGTGACATTCTTTGTTAATAAAGTTAAGAAGTGTTCATGTGTTTAGCGTTAACTTCTGTCTATGAAATCGTAAACTTATTGCAGTTCTTTACTTCTGGGCCCGAGATGCTCAGATAAGCTGTTTGAGCCAAAGGCAAATTCCCATTCTTAACTGAGCGGAGAATAAGGTTGAATATCGACTGCATGATGAAATATGAATCATACCGGCTGGTACACAGTGCAATACATTCCTAATGAGGCATCTGAATGTAACGTCATGTCCTTTTATCTTACGTAGAAAGTGTAGTAAGGAAAATGTATCTTTTTGTTTTGGTTAAATCATTCTAGTAGCCTCATGTGACTGTGTTATTACCAGTGTGTTTTCATCCCTGACATACACACACAGCCTTTAAAACATCAGGAAGTGCAACATCTGGCAACATGTTCATCAGTCCTGTAGGCCTGTGTGAAGGTACAGGACCGTATGAGGGCAAACTACACACACACACACACACACACACACACACACACACACACACACACATTGACCACACCACACAGTTTACGACACTGCTCTTCTAGAGGTACTGTAACTCAAGCTGGCGCCGCCGCTCTTGTGCGAGATCTTGAGTGTCGTAGCAACCGTCAGGCTCGGCGTCATGGCAACAGGGAAGCTGGGTGTGGCAGCTGCTGTAAAACCAACTGTCGTCGCGACAGTGAAGGAGGAGGCCGGTTCATTTGGGCATCCGTGCTGCAGTAAAATGTCGACACACTCCTGGCTGCCAGCACTGCGAGCCAGAACCAGAGCGGTGTGGCCCTGAGCATCCCGGTACCGGACATCAAAGCCGTACTGCAGTCAATCAAATAAAGAAGATAAATCAATGGATTAGATTATGTTATGTTCTAAATGTTAAAGGTTTAATATGCGGCATTTTTCCTAAAATATATAATGAATGAACTAATTGAAAAGTAATCCCTCTCAATCATAATTTATGGACAGACCCTCTGCCTGGACCTTCTCTTTTAGGGGTGTCAGCAAAGGACTTTTAGGCCCCACATGGGTGTGTAACCCCTGGCAAATGACACAACTCATTCCATTTTAAGGTAGCAAAATTCCTCTTTGATGCACCTGCACCCTTTTCTGTCCATATGTTACGAAGCAGTGGTATTTGATTCAAGATCTTCAAGATTCAAGGCTTTATTGTCATGTGCACATTAGCTACAGTGTAGATATGGCAATGATAAACTTAGGTCACAGGCTCCTCCAACAGAGCAACATGAATTGACATAGAACAAATAAAACAGATAAAATAGTGCAAGAGAATGTTTTGAGATGTGCAAGTAAATACAAATAAAATTGAAATAGTTTGATGACCTGGATTGAGAACGGGCTGGTATTACGCTGTGTGTTTTATGACCCCTCCTTCCCCCATCCCCTGGGTGTGCTTCCACTGCTTTCATTCAAAATCCGGTACCCAATAGGTGTGGGTGTGTTTGTTTGTGTTTAACAATATGCCATGTAACAATCAGAATTTGGCTTTTATTTTTTCTGATTTGCTGCTCTGTTCTTGTTGACGTCTCTCCATCTCTTCATTCACACAGTTAGCTCAGCCAACGCTGCTCTTTCTCTCTCTGTGGTTAACTTAAATGTGAGTGTTTGTAAACATCAACCAACAAAAGAAATATATTATACCTTTAAGGAAGTTTTATCTGTGGAATAAATTCCAACTTCAACCAGACAGGCCTGTCTTAAATAATCTTAACATGGTGTGACTCAATGAGCTTTAATTCCTTTCCTCCTACGTGTAGATCACCTTGAGCGGTCTGCTGAGTCATCGGTTATAAAGCTTTGTTTTTTTGCCGAGGGATTTACTTAGAGGTTCTTGAAGGGTAACATTTATTATCTTGCCAGTTTTGCATAACTCTACATGATATTTCACATATAGAAGGAATGTAAAACCATTTCACACCTTGTCAATACTACACTTTAAGTTCCTATTTCTTCAGTAGTGTGTATTAGACCACCCACTAAGGTTTTTTTAACAAGAGAAGGAGGAAAACGTACCCAAAGAAGAAGCTGCGTCATTACCACATCAGCCTGCTGACAGGCAGCGTGCAGGGCAGAGGCGGGCAGCCGCAGCGCTAGCAGCGACCTGCAGGAGAGCGCCAGGCTGAGAGGAGCGTTAATGTCCTCCTTACAGCAGTGGGCCAACAGGAGCAGCAGCTTGGGGAGATTGTGCTCCATCACTGCCAGCAGGAGACGGCCAGATAGTGTGATGTCTGGACCCTCGCCAGGAGTGGGAGGGGGCAACGGCGCCACAAAGAGTTTCTGCTCATATTTGGCCCTGATCCACGACTCCCGTTCCTCACTAAACAAGCAAAGAAAGCAAAGAGAAATAATGAATATTCAGTGAAACACATTTCTTGTCTTTCTTCAGTACAAGAATGACAACAATATCGCTCTAGTGAAACTTAACATACAACTTACATGACACACTATTTCTAAGATTGCAGCTCATACCAAAACACAACATTTAGCTAGAGCAGTGTTTAGTCACATCAATAGCATCTCATGACATGATGGTGTTTACCGTGAAGCATCAGGTGCTGGTTTACGGCCTAGCGTGCGCCCCTCCCATACACTGTTGACCATGTGGTTACCGATGGCACTGAGAACCAGCGTGAGCTCTCGTGGAAGATCATCGAGATCCAACGAGCGAACACGCGACAGGTGGGTTCCCAAGTTTCTGTGGATCCCTGAACACTCGATGCATATGAGAGCGCCCAGATTCAGACTGGCCCAGGTTGGATCTTAGAGAAAAAAGGGTGCAAACAACAAATTAAGTCGCTAGTTTATTTGAAACTGAACTATGTTGATTTTGTTGACAGATTTCTACCATTTAATTTGCTGTGTGACATTTAAGTATGCCAGTTTTGCCAAGTCTTGCCATGAAAATGACAGAAGTTGTGTGAAATCCTATTTGGACAGGTTTTAAAGCAGGGCTGTTTAATCTGAGGCCAATGTGCCAAACATAATATTCCCCAGAAACATTGGCACTTCAAACCGCAACATGGGAGGAATATTCAGTATTTTATCTATTTTTGTTTGTTTTATTCATATTGAGATCCAGATTCTAAATACAGTGTATATTAATGACACTTTGCATAAACATTCATCCTATTAATTTTCAAGAATATTCTTGAAGATGTGTGTATGTCGCTTCCTAATAGTTTAATTTATCATTATTATGTACAGTTCTCAATATAATATTTTTCCCTCCAGAGGCAAATACTTTTATTTATTATTTAAAGGCTTGGATGAGAACTTGGTTCAATTTTAGTTGGGCATTTAGGTGATGACTTCCATCTCTTTCCCTAATAAATAAGTCAGCAAGTTCACACAATAAAACAGCGCACACGCACGCGGCACACACACGGCACAGACTGTGCACAGACAAACGAGCAATCGGATAATTTGGGATTCTCTCACCGTTTAAGTGTTAATTGCATGTTAACTACTCTACATAGTAATTCATTTTTCTCACATACTGTATTTTAAAATACAGTAAATGTCAGCTGGTGGAAAGGCCAAAAGCAGAGAGATACAAATGCATACAAAGAGGAGAAAAGCTGTTGATGTGTGGTACCAACTTGGAGCATCACAGTCCACACAGAAGTTGTTCCCCTTTGCGTTGCGGATCGCCTGCAGAACCACTGCTTCGCTCAGGCTGTTCCTGCGGGCCTGGGGAAACCAAACAGTGTATGTTTTAAATGAGAGAAACATCAGCAAACTAACCTGCTGTTATACAAGCTCTGATAACTGCTCTAATTATTAACAATGATTATAATTTCCAAATCTCCAGAGAAAGTGGCGGTAGATGGCCATCATCATTATCATGACCATTTAAAACATTACAATTAGTGGTGTTGGCCTCCTAGGACATACAATCCCTATAACATGAATAAAGTAATGCAACATTTGGTTAAAGTAATAATTAGCAGAACAATTATCTTAGTGGCAATTATCATATTTAGAGATGATCTAATTCCAAACAAGGACTTACTCCCCACACAGGAACAGAAACCAACACAGTCCATTAGCAGACAGGACTGTTAGTTTGCCACAAACACTCAAGGAAATGATGTGGGTTTTGGTAATGGACAATTAAATTAGCTGCCCTCATCCCTTTTTAAAAGTAGAAGCAGTAACAGTTTCCTTCTCCTGTGAGAAAACTGTTCTTATCCAAGAGTCCCAGGGTGCAAGTACACAGAAAGGATTATACAACCCTCTTGTTCTTCCAAGGGCAGATAATGTCGCTTTTAAATATGAATTTACATTTCATGGAGTGAAAAGATGAGCACTTATAGGATATATGTACAATGTAATATATATTATATATTGATATGTTTTGTATAAAGTGTACATGTTATGTTTTATAATAATTGTGTGGATTAAACTAAACTCATAAACTAATATAATTTGTGTTTGTCTCTGCTAAATAATTGTTTGCTGGTTTGAGGTGGTCTGAGCAGAGGAAAATGCAGACACTATTTCATGACATAATGGGTACCAATATTGCGCTCCAGCAGCTAATCTGCATAACTATAACCCCGGGTGTATTGCTCTGCCCGCGTTGGTTCAAGCAGGAGCATTTGAGGCCACATAATACTAATAAAGGTGAACATTATGCTGTACCAAAATGACATAGTAACTGCTTTAGGGCTTCTACCTGCTTTGTGACTGCATCCAATGTGAAACTATTCCTAATACTGACCTTATTCATCCATTAAACTATTGCTTTTTCTTTAATTCTTGCCTTGTTTTTGCTGCTCTCACACAGCTGCAGGCTTGCCAGGATCTGACTCTCGATGGCTGCGACCCAGGAGTCCCTCTCCTCCACACTCTGAGCTTCAAAGTGCCACGTCTGGCCGGTGCTCGACACGATGAGGAAGTCAAAGTTATCCTCATCTGACACAGAGAAACACAAACATAGAAGCAAGACATTTTTCAGCAGGTATTCTGTTTTTGAAATGTCATTCTGAAGTAGATATATTGTCTGGTCAATATTAGGCATAAGTGTTAGTGAAGTGTACAATTATAACCACATTCTCAAATTGAAATACATGTAGTTAAAATATTTTTTATGTTGACAAAAGCTTGACAAACTGACAGTGTTCAGAGGGTCTGACTGAGTGCAAAAGATGCAACGTGACAGATCAACATTACCTGTCTTGCTTACGTTTCTTAAGCTACCAAAGCTTTTCAGTTTCCACATTTTGCGCTTGGCTGTATGAGAGGAAAGAAAACAGGAAATATTAAAAGTTAGTTGTTGAAAGTATCCCATTTTATGTAATCGATAACTGCTATTACTATTCAGATAACTAAAGTCATACTGAAATGATCACAGCATGCTTTTTGTTTTGCTAAATGCTGAAAAAAAGAAATATAAAGAGGGTCAAAGGGTTTACCATCTGCTGGGCCAATGGTTGCGTCTCCTTTCTGGTTAATGCTCTTCTTCCTGCGATGCTTCTTCCTGTCCGTCAGCGGGGAGGAGGAGCCTACGTCTTTGGTGGAGGAGGAGCTGGACACACCCTCTACTGCAGAGTCTGCCAACCCCATTACACACACAAAAAAACAAATGTATCCAATGCATGTTGGTTAGACTAAATATATGCACAGAAAGGTTCCTTACTCACCAACACTTTGAGCGTTGTTAGACAGTGTGGAGGGACACCGCTGCACGCCTCTGTTGCTCCTCAGGAACAGTGCACCTCCGAGTCCTTCCATCTCCTCCACTTGCAGGAGGCTGCTGGCGCTCACAGGGACTGCAAGGTTGAAAGCAAGCATGCACTTAATAAAGTAACATAAACTTACACAAACATCAAATATAAAACAGAGCTGCTAGAATAAAATAAAACACCATCACTGATTCTGTATGAACTGAGATAAAAGGTTTAGCATTCCCTTGCAACATTTGTCCTCTCTAGAGAAGCTTTACCCCTCTTCACAAACAACGTTTTAACAATCCACTGATCAGGGGATTTATGTATTTGTGTTGGCTGCTTTTCCCCAAACTCCTGCTCATTACTATCCAGGGTCAGGAGGTTCCACATTTCTCCTACAACGCTATAATAATAACAACAAATGTTATTTATAGAGCGCTTTTGAAGGTTCTCAAAGACACTTTACTGGGTCAAATTCATAAACCATCATTAAAACAACAAAACAATACATGAATTAAACATTAAAGAGGCCCTATTATGCTTTTTGGGGTTTTCCCTTTCCTGTAGCATGTTATAAGGGTGTGTCAAGGGCCTTGATTTGATTCCTTTGTTTACTTCAGTGACATAATGACATCACTATGTAGCTTGCGCTTCTATTGGCTAGTGCTCCAACACATTGTATGTGATAGGCTAAGGGGCGGGACATCTCTAAGCGGTTGACAAATCACAACAGAGCCGGCCAGCTAACCAATCAGTTCAGACTGGGCTCTGGTTTCAGACAGAGGGTGATCTGAGCACAGGCAGTATGAGAATAATAAAGACCGTTTTGAACATAAAAGCATGTAAACAGGTCACTGTAATAACACTAAATACAAATATGACCCTAAAATTGAGCATAATAGGGCCCCTTTAGAAGTAGTTCTGAAGAGGTGAGTTTTGATTTGTGACTAGAACATCGAAAACATGTCTATAGAGCCCAGCTTCACAGAGAAAAGGGCCAGTGTGTAGAGCCACTGCTATTCAAGAAAAGTATAGTTCTATTATTCCTCTCATAGTAAACAACACTGCATCTTTTCATATCGATTCATGCATGTATATTGATTTGGGTAAAGGAATTAGTTGAGTGTATACTTTAAAAGGCATCTAAAGAATATATGATGTATATAGGTATATTTGTTTACCTGGGCTGAGACCCTCGGGACCCGGCACATCTTTGACGCGTCCATTGAGCCCGACTGGAAGCCCCCCGGCAGGTACAGCACGAGGCGGCCGTTTCCCTGGCACCTTCACTGTGACGCGCAGCAGGTCCATCTCCTTCCCGGGGGCGTTCAGCATGTAGTCCTGCCAAGCAAACACCAGCCATTACACATCAACCACTAGCTGTCAGTGGTGCTTTCAGCATAAACAAATCATGTTGAGCTCCGTCAACCCTCTGACTCACATTGACACTGGAGTGATAGGACAGTATGCCGTCGTTGGACAGCGTGACATACTTCTTCTTCCACTCTTTGTTGAGCGAGTTCCCGCTGCGCTTCAGCAAGATGCCCTGATGGAGGTGAAACAAATGGAAGAGTGAGAATTTATTGCAAATGTCTTGCGTGTTCATCTCTCACAATTCGGCAGCGTGTCGACTGCTGCCTGCCAAAAACACCAACTTTGCTATTCATCAGGCCAATATGGGAGATCACAACACCTCACCGCTCCACATGATAAAACTGCCTTGAAACATTTGATTTGAAATGACTGCTGGTGCGATGTCAGCTGCCGAGGGTCATTAGATACATCATATTTGTTTTTTCATCAAATGCAAATCTGTGTCCTACCTGTTTGATGGGAATGAAGCGTCCACTGCCCAGATCTCCCTTACACTCTGCACTCCTCCTGTTTGAGTCACTGCCTCTCCGACCCTACACAAAGTACAAGAGGAGCAATAACTGAGGCGTGAATGGGGCACTTTGTTAAAGAATACAATAAAGGGCTCATGAATTATGGACGTTTTTGTTATGAATTGCTCTGCATTTTGTTAAAAAGCCATAAGAAGTATTTGGATTTTCTGCTGACTGCGTAACCTTTCTTCCAAATGTGATAATTAAAGAAACTGGTTAAATATTAGAGCCATTCAGCCATCACTTGTGCGAATGAGCTTATAAATATCAGGTAATACACCCTAGTTTTAAAGACTACAAAAAACCCCAAAACTAATAGTGACCACAGACTTAACATTAATATTGAATCATCATTCAGCACCACATTGATCCAGGGTTGTGTAATTCTTCTTAATAAAAGGTACATTTCATAATTCTCAATAACTTTATCAATATATAATTTGATATTTTTAAATGTGTTTCAAACATGTTTAGTTTCAAACATGGCTAAATGGCTAAAAATGTGTAGTTGTTTCGAGAAATGAAAGGAAAATCAATAAAGAGAGAAATGAAGTAGACTGCTCCTTGGGCCCCTCAAAACACATTCCCTTGATGTACCGCAAATCTGGGGGTGCGTCTCCGGGTGGCACTGCGGACAGATCCAGGCGTGGCACTGTCCTGCTTTTCGCCTCTCAAAGTTTTTCCAATCTCTTTATGACTGATCACAGGAGTGGAGGGAAGTGATGAGGAGTAGTCGCTGCTCTGACCACCATTACTGGCCTAAAGAGAGGAGAGAGGAAAGGAGGAGGGGGTGGGGATGATGAAATAATAAAAGAACGATAATTGAGTTTGATACAACAGTATGCTGACTGCCTTTAAAATAGGGCCTGACAGCAAGACTCAAATATGCAATTCAACCAATATAAAAAAAAATGGTCAGTGAACAGATGGTGGTCTAACCTGTCCTGGGAAGACCCCCGACACTGGGGTGGAGCCTCCGGAGTGACTGGGAGAGTTAGGGAGAGATTTACAGGAAGCCAGGAGGGCAGCTTGCTTCTTGGCTGCCATGATCTTCTGAGCAGCTGTGGAACAAATACAAATACAATTGAACATTAATCTCACCAAAAATGACACACAAACTTCATATATCTGCATCTTCTATGTCAGAATCCTCAAAGCTCAGGTTTGCTCACATACCATCAGTGAAGACTCTGTTGACATTGAGGCCGTACGTCGCACAGGTTTCATAGTACGTGCAGCGCCGCACATCAGAGCAGAGCTGTCTGGCCCTGGCATCATCGATGACTCTGGGGTTGGTGCTGCTGATTTTATCTAGAAAAAGCACAAATAATAAATATAATATCTGATTTTTACGTCACTAGTATCGTGGCCACAACAATTCAAGATAAAGGTATTAGTGCGATATCTATAGAAAATAATAAAAGGAAAAATGCTATCAGTCATCTTGTACATTTAATTAATTACATGTGTTTGTGTAGGATGCTTTGCATAAAGGAGACAAACCAAGAACAGGATGAAACTTACATTAATAAAGAGGCGCTGGACTGTTAAGATGATATTATCATATTTGTATGAATAACAATCAATATTTTGTCATTTGGACATCACAGGTATTGCCAATACCACTATATGGCAACACCCCAAATTGAATTAAAAGGCAAGTGTCTTACCCTGAGTACCGACTACGATGAAAGCTATCTCAGAAACGGGCCGGTGCATAGCGAGCTGGTGGTAGATTCTGTAAACTTCCTGGAAGCTGGCCTCATTTTCCAAACTGAAGACCAAGATTACTGCATCCACCCAACATGCAAACTGGAGAGAAGAGAGGAGAAGAACAAGAGCATTAAGCCAAGAGCATTAAAGTACCCAAGAGATAAATTACATCAAGTTCAAAATGAGTTGTCCAAGGTCAAACCCACCTGAGCATCTGGGAGTTCTGTCTCCTCTCTGATAATCATCAAGTGGCTCTGTCCATCAACCAGGACGTCCTTAATGCACTGGCGCCCTGAAAATACAAAGTGTGAATAAAGTTTGACTTTGTATACTAACATGTCAAACTAATAACATTAATGGATCATCTAAATGTCATGTAGCTGCCGGTATAAGCTCCATTGTCATAGAGAACACACATCATGGTTGTAGATGAGGACATGTGAAACCAACCCTCAGTGTTCTCCATCTGAAGGTAACTGCCAGTCATATGTCTGTGGACAAGAGCGGACTTCCCACTGCACAGACCTCCCAAAACACCCTTTAGAGCACAAACACATACAGATGGGGGAGAGAACATATTAGTTAAGTGATGAATCCCATCCATCAGCTTGTAAAGGTACACTATAGCTGATGCTTACCAGATGAAGCTCTTGTATAGTTTGGCTCATGGTCCATTCTTGACTGCTGGTGCATGCAGCTGAAGGAGGAAATAATACAGCAGAAGAGAAGGAGAGGGGATTCATTAGGTAAACATATTTTTTAAAACTTGCTAAATATACACAAGGTATCTGATGCAGGGCTAACATTTAGTTTAACAGTTCCCCCTGCTATACGACTCTTTGTGCTAAGCTGGGCTAAAAAACACAACGTCCATTTTTGTCTACCTGGTATCTTTTTCATCTGAGCAAGATAACAAACTATTTGAAAATGTCTGATGAGTGTTTCATACAGGTTGTTCTTTATGTCCTGCCTTAAACAGGTAATACAATTGGTTAGCCTCCACTGAAAGGAAAACAAATACATTTAGCAACTCCAAAACTGTCGTATTTACATGGTGTGTGTTATTAGCATCCAGTCAGCACCCGTGTTTTAGTGAGTCAAGAAAATGTGTAAACTGTTCACAATAAGGAGATTACCTCCTTGGCGGCTGGATTAAAAAAGCTAACTAGGCTAACCCTGCTCCCACCCTTTGTGCTAAGCTAAGCTAAACAATACTTAGACTTTTTGTCTGTAAATCTACCAACAATATGTTAGTAGTTACAGTACGAACTGCTTCTTTACTTCTGGCTAAGTTAGAAAAAGAAAGCCTACTTCCATCCTTAAAATTAGTTTTTTTCTGAGTGCCTGTGTGGACGCAGTACAGTGAGCAGAATCAGAGTCCCCCCCCCCCTGGGTGCAGGGAGGCTGCAGCTCCCACACAGTCACAGTGAGTGAGCACCCAGAACATTCAATCAAGTGTAAAACTGTGCAAGTCTAAAGGAGTTAGTGAGCATGCCAGATATCTTAAGTTTACTAAAACATTGCTATATACGCCACTTTGTGACCTTATAGAAGGGTTACACTGCAAAATGACAAGTAGCTTATTGTTTTACTCAGCCTCCCTTGAAAATCTATATTTCTTATTTTTTTTCTTTGTAAAAGAAAAGAAAGAATTCAGCCGACCGTAGTGAGATAATTCATTTTGTTCCCAGGGCAGTTTCCCACATCCCAATGAATTTTATAGAAGTAAGTGTCGAGTGAAACAAGACGGATTATCTCACGTGGTGCTCTGCAGTTTCAAGGAGAAATGAAAAGATTTGCATTAAAAAAGTTAAACACATCAGCATGTTTTGATACAGGAGTTTGGGATATATAAGAGTTTATTATTATTGTCTTTTATTGAGTCAGCCAGAGACCTGCAAGTACAAGCAACGTGCCTAATCCAGTATTGTGATATTGATCAAAGTGTCTAAAACAGCACAAGTGAAATTATTGCAATTATTACTTCTTTAAGCCTGAAGCTGGGACCAAAAGACTTTTGGATGGATGTTTTCAAACTTAATTAACAAAGTTATGGTTTAGGTTTCTTTATGTGCAACTTTATTTAGCATCAGATTAATATGAAATGGCTGTTTAGAAATGATAGAGGATAACTGCTGCCAAGTGACTCATCTAGTTACAGAGCATGATTTCAGACTGCGGCAGGCATCAGCTTCTCCAGAGAAAAACAAACTCATTGCTCTGTCCTTTTTCATGCGCTTTGTATTGCATCAGAATTTCACCGAATTGAATCACTTATTTATTAATATTATTAAGATATAAATCAACCCCATGAAGGCAAAAGCTATAATTTAAACATAAATAAGTGCTAATTTGATTTCATATCTCCCTGTGAAAAGCCAATGCACCACAATGCATCGTATTTGAAATGTAACACTAACGATGTATTAGGGTTATCTCAAATAGAGCTGTGCTTGTGTTGGTTTGATTGGCTTTGCTTTTACTAATAGGAACACCATTATGACTAAGTGTTAATATAAAAATTGAACATTGTGTTCCAAGTGTCATGATGAGAAATAGGTTGTGAGATTATGACTAAATATATATCTACTTCATCTCCTCAATGTGCTTATAATGATCCACCAGCTGTGCAGGTTTCTTGTGTTGCGGTGGGTTCAGTAAATTATCAAATTTGGCGCAGATATACTCAAATAAGAAACAAGGCCAAATGAAATGACACAGACATTACAGTTACCTCCATTTGTTCAGTTTTTACTGATGTCATTGTGTGGAGTTACGTCACTACAGCAACTGATCAAATGTATTAGTAATCCTAACTTTATTACTCTTATTTAACTCTTAGGTCATGGGTGTCTGTTCCACAAACTATATATGATATATTATGATGGAGTACCTCCATTTTGAATAATGTAGATACATCCACTGGTGTCAAGAAAATGTTAATTGAAATTATTTCTAAAACTAGAGTATCTCTTTTTAATGAATATATATGTATCATTTTTTTTATTTAGCCGGTATTTATACAGGTGTAAAATCTCATTGAGACACAAGGTCTCATTTTCAAGAGAGACCTGTCATGCTTTCCACTACTGACAAACTACTTTCCACTAGTGACAAACCCCCATTTCAAAGGCTTAGTTCAATCAATAACTTGCTGAGGATATTTTTGTACTGAGCTTCAACTAGACCTTTTGGTTTGATTGCCTTAGCTCTTACTCTGTGAATGAACATGCAATAGAACACACACACACACACACACACACACACACACACACACACACACACACACACACACACACACACACACACACACACACACACACACACACACACACACACACACACACACACACACACACACACACACACACACACACACACACACACACACACACACACACACACACACACACACACACACTCTTGAAGGACATCTGCAGATACAGTATGTGGCTAAACAGAGATAGATAAATGACTGCCAGTGTGGACACATGCAGGCAAACACATACTGTTCACACTCTCTGAATACCACTGGCTACAGATGTAAATCAATGCAGAAACCATGTTCAAAGGGACCCCCACAGTTCAAAACACACACACACCTATACACACACACCCAGAAACACGCTCACTCTGCTGGGTCACGTTCAGCTCGGGCGGAGCCTCTGCTCTCTGAGGACACAGTTTCCAACTTTAAACCCCTCGACTCTCCCTCATCCCCTTCTTTGGGCGACCCCCATACCCACCAACCCACACCCTCCCCCTTCCTCCATCAACAGCGTCACACCACAGACCAAATAGCATCTCTCACGGCTTGCTGTTGCCATGGCAACTCCATTTTCCAGAAGCCTCCAGCCCGGGTCTCTATACAATAACTGGTCTCTCTTGGATACAGAGACGTGTGCGAGAGGCAAAGAGACACGATGTCCACCTGTGTACACATGATGCTAAAAATACGCCTTGAAAATTACATTTTCTTAATTAAATCAATTATGTTTGTATGTCATTAGGATACTGACACAACATGGGGAAATTATAGGTTCAACATGACACAATGTTGACTATGCCGCTTCCAAACACTTAAACACAGCGTCGGCGAATGAATGGGCTCCATTTGAATGCTGATTAACTCCACGCACAGAGCAGGAAGTAGCAGGTTCCCGCTCTCCTCGCTCCTCCGATGAACACAGCTCTGTGTATTCCCAACCTTAATTATTCATGTCCCACTTACTCCTGACAAATTATTCAGAGCTTACTCTAATACCACACTCTCTGTCAATGATGATTTTCTTTAGAATATATCAATAACGATTAAAGATTGATAAAGTAGCATCATTTCCTTCATTTGAAATGGAGAGGCCTGAATATTTCATGAAGTGTTGTCGTCGTTTTTGACAAGACTGAACTCATTTCTAATTGTTTGAGAGTCGGGGTTTGGGGAATAACTCTATCTAAAACATTGAGTACATTAGTGAAAACTTATGCAGAAAGCTTTTTAACATCTGTAGTTGCCAAATGTTTTACTATTAAAATGTACAGCGAAGCAGATAAAGAAAAATCTGTTCTTAGTCATGAATACATTTAAAGTGTTTTTTTATTGCCGGTTGTTTAGTTGTATGTTCTTCATACTCTTTTTGAGCAGTTATGTTATAGTTACAGGTGTTGTTTTCTTTTGAAAATAGATCCTTTTGTTATAAAGGAAGCTGATTAACTTGACATTAAGATACATATTTTTTTTTTAAATCTAGAGATCAATCGGTCTGCTACGATTATTGTCATAACCAGGTCCTGTGAGGATTCAAGTAATTTATTTTTTTGGTCTGAAAAGTCAGAAAATGCCCATGACAATTATTTTAATCCAATGTGATGTATTCAAGTAGCTTAACCCAAAAGTTCAAAACCCCTGAACATACTGAGAATTATCATATAAGTCCAAACAAGCAGCAAATCATCACATTTGAGTAGAGGGAAACTAAGAATGTTTCTGCTTAAGTAAAAATGTACACGATTAATCAAATTGTTGTTTCAGCTACTTGCCTAAACAAATATAGATATGTTTTACCCATCAGCAGCATATCGGAGTGAAATCTGAGTATTGACAGGATAAATCCGCAAAACTGTTCCCTTCTGCAGCTCCCATCAAAGATCCTCGTATTGTTGCCTGTGATATGTTGCAAATGAGCACCTTATTATTTGATATCGTTGTCAATACATTTTCAACAGACTGTTTATTGCAACTTATTGTGCCGCCCTCAACATTTCAGATACACTAAGAGCTTGAGGCAGCAATGAAATATCCAAAGACATGAACAGTTACCATGTTCTCAGACAGACTTTCAGTCACTCTGAATCTGCTTCTAATTATAATGTCACAACCAATGATGATGTTCATCAGTTAAGCATTCACTATAATGTCTCACTCCAACTGAAAGTAACCACAGATGAGAATTTATTTTAGCACTGAATCAAATTCAAAATCGATGTGTATGACAATAAGCATGATACATGTATGCTGCCTGTGTGTGTTCATATTGCCACTGTGAGTAATTTATAGCAACCGATGCCAAGATACATGAAATGTTTGAGTAAATGAATGAATAAGATGAGTATTACAGCATTACTGGGACTGAGTGGGTTAGATCCACCGACTCCAGGGGGGGATGTGACTCCAATGAATATGTGATCCTGTGTAATCGCATTAAATAAAAATGATCTAGGTCTATATAATGGTAGCTTAATTTTAAGCGAAAGGAGCACTGATGGGGGGAAGCAAAACATCAGATGTGGCTGTTTTTAGTCACCTGTTGGTTCACTTTCCCTTATTGATATTACTCCCCTATATTATTTTGTGCAGCACTGTGGGGCTCATTAGCATAAGAAGACATTTATGACATTATGTGAACAGAAATATTGTATCTAAATGTAAAGCCTATTCAAAAAATTATACATAAAAAGCCTCCGAGTACTTTGAATGCATGAGGTGGCCTTACCGTCTTCCTCACTGGAGCCCCTCTCTACAGCTGGATGGAGGGGGGGTGTGGTGCTGACGCTGGCTGCCGCTGTACTTTTAGTGAAAATGCCACTTATGAACTTGAGCATCTTTCGGTCTTTCGGAGGAGCGCGCTGGATTGTCCCTCCCTGGCCCTCCTTCCCCCTTTTCAGGTCCTCAGAGGGGGAGTGCAGGTCGCTGTTGTCCACGGTGCGACTCGGACCTTTCCTCTGAAGCCTGGACATGTCGGGGGCTACAGGTGTAGGCAGGGAAACAGACACTGTTTTAAACCTCTCCCCCTGAGGACTGTCCCTGGCCATGATGCCTGAAAACCCCCCGCTGACAGGGGCTCCGGGGCGGATGAGCGTGCCCCTCCCGTCGCTGTCAGCCCAGGACGCCCTGTAAGGCCCCAGAGTTGTAGCTGCCATTAGAGGAGACTGGTCCCCGAACCGGTTATCCCTCCGATCCAAAGTCCTAGCAGAGTGATACAGGCCTGCGTTGGCTTCTCTGAGTTCCCTCCACCCAGAAGAGTTTCCTCCTGCATGTGACCTCATCAGGACCTCAGGACGCTGGCTGACCTGCGGCGGGATGGAAAAAGGGAGGCTGCAACGAGAGCGACTGCTCAGGTCTGCTCCATTTTCCCCCTTCAGGAACAGATTGGGGGGCTCTCTGTAGAGTTCAGTTTTAGGGCGCATGGCCTCTGAGCGGGGACCCTCTCTGCGCACTGTTCCCTCAGAGGTAGTCCCTCCATACACTTTGACCATTTGCCTAAGAGGTGGATGTACAAAAGAAGTGTCTCTGCTTTTACCGACTGATACCATGTCTCTCTGAGGTTCCCTCCTCTCAAGCCTTCCCCAGTTCTCGATGGGACTGCCATATTTGACATGCTGCACCTGTTCCACCTCTTCTCCCCTCTGTGTGCTCTCCTCTTCCCCCACTTGTATGCACACGGGTTCTTCCTCCCGTTCAGGGGCATTGCTCACCTCCTCCTCCTGCTCATCCTCTTTCTTAGGGCTCCCTTCCCCCTCTGGGAGAGCCTCCGTCTGGTTCCCTTCTACATCCTCTGGCACGGCCTCAACCTTCACCAGAGTGAGGGAGATGAGGTAGGTGGTGCGTTTCTGTGGGTTGGCTGCCTTGCTCATTGGGACAACAGACTTCAGCGCAGTGGCACCTGCAATCAGCCAGACCTGCACACCTCAGTCATGGCAACCGGGACAAGACTGGAGCAGAGGAGAAAGAAAATCTAAGATCAACATCAAACACAGATCCAACCTGATGCTATCACACCTCGTGTAGAAGATTATGTCTGATATCAGGCTTGTGGCTTGACAGGAATCCAAGTTTCTTCATGACAATATTCAATAAAGACATGATGATTCAGGGAAAATACAGGAATGCATTTTGAATTGCACATTTTTTAGAATATATTTGAAAAGGCTGACCCACTGCTGTAACTAGTCTAGACTGATTTGTAATGCCTCCATTAATCCTCTTCAATGCACACCGATACTACGGGTCCCATACTGATTCATTCATAATCCTTACCTCTCGTTGCTCTGCTTTTCTTCCCTAACTATTTTAATCTGTGCAAATGTGACATGTAGTCACAGGGCTAGCTTAAGGAGAAAGGTATTTACACTCTGTTGATGCCTCAGACTCAGATTTCAGCCTGGAATTATGCAACAGCCAATACATTTGGTTGATCCATTTTTTGTGAGTCCAAACTGAAATGAATGCTGGCTGAATAATGCCACCTTACTACAGAATGTGTCATGGCTTTTTTTTTCATATCATACCTTCATTTTTGCTGAAGAATATCCATTGAACAGTTCCTCGTACATTCGATTTGATGAAGAATGTATCTTGCCATCAGATTACCATTAATATCAAACGGCACATCAAAGGGCTGACAAGAATTGAGCTCCAGCTGATACGAGAGAAAGAAAACTGGTGAAAAGGAACAGGGTGCAACAACGTATAAATGGAAATCATTCACTTGTCACGAAGCGTCTGGCAGCTGGAGCCTCCATACGACAATGTCATGCATAAAATGATGTATGCACGGTGTGAGGGTCACTGCGAGATGCTGAAAAACATCTGTTGTTATGTCTCCAGAAAATGAAAGAAAAAAAGGAAAAGAGATGTAGTAGCCAGATTTACGCAGCCCGAGCAAAGCTTCCTTCTGCCTGTATCCCTCCTCTGGAGAGCAGCTCCTCTCGGTCACCGCATCCTCTCCTCCGAGTGCCTCATCCAATTAGCAAGTCAATAAAATGTGTCTGTGAGGCAGAGGAAGCCCACCAGCTCACCACAGCCCCTCCTCCTTTTTCCCCCTCCTCTTCTCGCTGCCACAGAGCCTTGCAGCCCCCCGCTAGCCCGCTGTTAGCCTGCCGCACAACCTGCTCTGGATCCAGCTCCGAACACAGGATGGGGATGAGAGGCTTCCAGTGAGACGGTGGTGCGGGTGGTGGTCCCTGCCAACATGCATCAGATTTCTATCTGTACCGATACGACAAAAGAGAGACGGGAGGACGAGAGAAAAACCCCCAACTCTGCTCCTGCAAATGCATCTGCCGTGTCTCCAGCTCCGTCTCCGTCTCTCCCTCTCCGTTTCCAGAGCAATGTATGAGCAGCTCTCCCCCCGCTTCAGTGTCTCCTCTGAATGAGGATGCTCAGAATTCATCTGGATGTCTTTGGATCAATGCAATATTTAGAAAGCAATATGGATTTTTGTATGATGTAGGAAACTAATGAATATACGCATTTAGTATTTGCAGGTCATTAAAAAAATAAATAAAATAGAGGTACAAAAATATATATTTGAAAATAATAAACACATACGAAGATAAAATCAAGTTTCCTGATCCTTTCTAAATGGATAATCGAAACAAAGCAGCAACACAACCAGATCAAATGAAACTGTAAATCTTCAGGGTGGAAACTAAAAGGAGAACAAAATAGTTATAATTTGGAATAAAGATTATGCGCGCATACTGAAGGCCTATTTAGGTCAGATAAAAAAAAGTGTATGCAACATTTCTGATGTAGATGTTATATCACATTATGGACTTTTGTTTCTCATTTTGATAAAACACTGCCAGCTAGATATACATTTTGGAGGAAGGTCTAACATTATTTTTACTTAAGTTAAGTGCATGATTGTATAATTGCATTGCTTAATAGAATTTGTTTAACATTTTGGGTTATTAGCTTTCTTGCTAAAAGTAGGAGATTGATACTATGTTCACATCTGTGAGCTAAATATTCCAGTTAGCTTAGCAGACAAACAGGAAAGAGCTATTCTGCCTTTGTTCAAAGGTGGAAAAGATATACAAATAATGATGACTTGGATTTGTATAGCGCCTTTCAAGAAACCCAAGGACTCTCTATACAATAGGACGAGGGGCCGTGGGGGGGACTAAAAGGAAAACAGTCACACAACAGGGACGAGAAAATAAGAAGATAAAAAACACAAGTAAACAAAGGCTGGTCACAAAAATATAGAGAAGATTATCTGAGGCTCAAAGCCTTGACGAACAGATGTGTTTGGAGTGCTTCTTTGATATTAACTTAAACAACTCTAAAGCTCTCTAACATGTTATAACTCATACGCTTTTGTGTACTGAATAAACAAATGAAAACTTAGTCTGTTGGTGAGAGAGTCTTTAGTACATGTTTTTTTAAACAGAGTCAAGCTCCAGTGTTGCTTGTCTTTATGCTAAGCTAAGTGGTAGCTTCATATTTACAGTACAAACATGAGAGTGGTATTGATCTCCTCGTCTAACTCTCAGCAAGAAAGTGAATTAGCTTATTTCCTCATTTAATTAACATTGAACTGATCACTCATCTTACTAGCAGCTTTTACGTTATTAAAGGTCTCAAGTGACACTGTGTATGAATGTTTGTTAATAACCGGGCGATACATGTACTTGGACAACTGTATAGGACGTTCTTTTATATTGTCGAGTATTTCAGTGTTTTGAATTTGTTAATTTGTCCGATCGTTCTTTCTTTTTTAGCGAAATGACTCATTTAAAGGCGAACTGTGTTACTACTCAATGTATTGTGTGGCTTTGGAATTAGCTTTTTTAAGATTGAGAAGAAAACGTGTAGCAATCAGGGCTTGGTTTTGGAAATGTCACATTTACACACATTAAAATAAATCCTGAAGATTGAAAGATGTGGGCACTCAGCAGGCAGGAAGGGGGCTTACGGAAAAACCCGAGCAGCATAGAGTGAAGTGAATGATGCATTTTCTTTGTGCTTAACTCTATTGTAAGTCCCCCACTATATAAAAGAACAATCCTAAATCATGTGGTCACCCCTATGTAAAGCGTAACAATTCCCCTCCAAAATAACAACAAAAGAGGAGACACCTACTGCTTATTTAGACAGCCGCATTCATTGACTGTTTATATCATTACATAAAGACAGAAAAAGTGAGGCACACTTTATTATTTTGTTAGTATTTAAGGTTAGTGTTTTTTCCACACAAAGTATTTCAGTGCTCATAAAATCACATTAATTCTAAAAGAAAACACCATCATGTGTATAATAAAAATACACAAATGAAGTTTGAATGTGATTAAAATGTTTTATTATTTGTTTGTGGTTGCAGTGCTAGTGGATTTCAGATGGGATTGACAAACTGACATAAAGTGTTTAACATGAAATGAAGTCCAACCCTTCAGTCCTTTGATCAATAAAAGAAAAAAACATTTTAAGGGCAATACCAGTATTTTTGTCTTTCTTGTGCGTTTTTCTTCTGCGACTATTCTTTCATTTCCCCATGATTTTCAGAAGACGGATGGTTTTACTCTACCTTGAGTAGGACACATACTAAGACAAACACAGTAAGATCACTAAAGACTGGCTGCTCTGACCCTGAGGTGTCACTCTTGTCAGACATTGTTCAGCTTTTAATGAGAAAATATGACATCTCTGCTTCCTTCTGTCTAAGCACTGCACAAAAGTTACAAGAGCAACATTTCAGAGGAGATGACAAACGTGTCTGTGCGCCAGTCCCTGCGGACGAGACTGATACACAAATCAAACATCAAAAACACTGGTTTTGTCCTTGAAGACACGCCATGTTAACATCATTAATTGTGACGTGGGAAAGCATGCCAGTGATCCTTAAGTTCACTTCTCTTCTTTTTTTATTCCACTTCTCAGGCTTTAATCCTGTTTTGATGTAGCAGTAAATAAAAGATATATCCCAAAGCATAACCCAGACGTCTTGAAAGGCAATGCAAGGAATATTTAAAACTCCTTTATGGTTGGGCCAGGTCTAAGCTTAGACACTGTTACCTCTCTCTGCGCGGTTCACTGCATCATTTCAAGTCAATGTCTCCTCGTCCTGGAAATATGCATCTTCTAGGGCATTCAGCGCGGATATTCGCTTCAAGGGGTCAAAGGTCAGCATTTTCTGTGGAAGAAACAATCATAGTAGTTTAGATCTCCGGGTTTTAAAAAGGAACAGTTTTTGATTTTCTGCCGCTAGGCGTCTGAAAATCAAAACAATGACATAAGATGGAGTTTGTTGGCATTGTAAAGTTGCATGAGGTCATGAGAGTTGTTGTCTTCACCACCCATGTCATCTTTGTAGTGAGCTTTTCCATCCAGTTTATCATCGTTGAGGTTTTTTTTTTACCGCCACAGCGGTCTCCTATTCTCCAAAACAAATGGACCCGTTGATTGAAATGGGTATATAAGCGGATCAAACTGTTTTATGTTGAAAATCTGAGATTCTCTGACTTTGCTTGACTGCCACTAACGCTAGCTCAGCTTGTTTCTCTGATTGGAATTCAGACTTTCGATGACTAATAATAATTTTTCAGGTTAAAATATATAGTAAAAAAGAAAAGCTGCTGTTAAGTGTATTGTTAAAAACGTGGCTTTAAAGTAGGTAGAAAGTGAGAATGCCATCTTCTAGCAGAGAATTGTTTCATAACATTACGTTACCTTGATTAGTATAAAAGATTTCTCTAGGTCAGAAAATAGTTTGGAACCTTTGGGATGATTTAAAGGGGACCTATCATGCAAAATGCACTTTTGTACGTCTTTTATACATGAATATGTGTCCCCGGTGTTCCAGGGAACTCACCAAGTGTCAGAAAACACAACCCTCTCTATTTTCCTCCATACCCAAATCTCTAAAAAAGGGGCTGCAACGGATCTGATAAAAACTGATCCAGATTTGAACACTTGACTGACGTCACAGAAGTGGCGCTACGGCTATTGGGCCAACTCTTCACCCATCAGGGGAATGTGGGGTTGGGCCACGGCCGGCCATTGCCGCTCGAAAGCGCTGGAGACGCTGTAGTACATATGCCAGGCCTGTAAGTGGCGCTGTAGTCTGCCACAAAAGCAGCAAAGAAGACTTCCCGTGCATGGTTGCCATGGTTGCCCTTCTGTTTATTCTCCGCTGTGGCTTTTTTTCCTCCCTCCCCGAGGCAAGCGTTTGCTCCTGCTACTTTAATTCAATGCAATCCCTCCCCGTCGAGGCAAGCACTGTAATTCTCTCCGGTTAGTCCACCAGCAGATGACAAACACCCACCTCTCCGCCTCTTCCAAGGAACGAGGGGACCGTGTGGCAGAGTTTCAGTTAGGTTTTCTTTCGCCGGTCAAGATGTCCGTTAAAGTTTAAATCTTCCGGACAAAATTAGAAAAGTGCCGGTCAAAGGTCTTCTTTGTTATTTATTGAGCTTTAAAACAAATGAATAACGACTCTATATAATCATATATAAGAATAAAACATGGAGGACGGAATCTCTCTTTTTCTCCCCCTCTTCTGACAGCCCAGCAGCTGATCAGAGCACGCTCCCCTCTCCTGCAGGGGGGCGTGGTCAGCTGCAGCTCACAGAATCAGCTCCCTGCAAAAACAGGGCTGGAAAGAGCAAATGGAGCGAAATGAGGCATGGCTAAAATGCAGGATCTGTTTGGTATTTTGAAAAAAAAACTATATTTATATACTTTATATAGGTATGGCCCTACAATATATTGTTCAAATATAGCATGATAGGTCCACTTTAAGTTAACAACTCACAGAAGCACAACCACTCCCTTTTATAAGTCTAGTTGTTTTTAGGTATCTTAATGCAGAAATGTTACATTTTATAACTTTAAAAAGCATCAGTTGGAGGAGGCTGACCCCCCTCTCTGTTTATGTCTGAGTTCAGCATGAAGACTTGATATGTGGGTCTGTCTCCGTCCAAAGGCAACACAATCTGTGTGCCGGCACCAATAAACCTCACTAACACACACCTTACATCTCATCTATTAACTACATTTCAAATCAAAGATTAGAGACGATACGCGGTTCACATAGGGTTATGAGCCACATTACCATCTGCCCAGGACCAGTTGCCAGGCAACCAGTGGAAAGTACAAGAAGTTACTGGCCTCTTTTTTTTACTTTGCACTTTAACATATTGTTTCTACATCAGACAAAGAAGCAGAATTAAATACAAGGTCAAATGTAATCCCAGAAAAACAACATGTACTGCACATGATCTTTTAGTGATTTCTGGGGTTTTCCTTTTCCTGTAGTTTGTTATATAGGTTTTCGTGCATGTTAAAGGACTGC